TTAGGGCAAATGAACTAATTGCGTGACAGACAAGAAACACACAACACGCATACAGACAAACTTACCGCCTTATTATAACAATGATGTTTAAATGATAAGCCACCTTAACCTTACTCTTTTATAATGTATTGCTATTGTTAATATATGACAATCCATTGTACTGTAATCGTAAGGAATTTCAACTGGTAACTTACGAGATATTTTGTAATGATGTAATGTGCTTTTTTCTTTCCATGCAATGACACTTTATGATTAAGAGTTAGCTATCAATAGTACCCCTCCAACTCATAAGCTCACTCAGTGCCCTGGGAGAACGGTTGTGGCGTTCTTTTCGCAGTGCACCGGCCAGCCCCCTATCTTAACTCCGCAAGACCATGTTTAAGCCGTCTACCATGCATTCACATATACAACCAGCACACCACCTCAGACCATTCCATTACTTCCTTCATTTTTGCACTCGAGGACGAGCTTTTCCAAGAGAGATGTCGGGATACAGCGCCAGCTGGCTTCAGCTACTGACGGGAGGCTGCTCCATGCTCTACACTTCATTTACAAGACAAGTCTTATCCTGACAACTGCCATGCATTATAATCAAGCAGAGATAGTTGCACGACATCAAATCACAGGTAATTCTTGTTGACACGTTGATCTGAAATTTAGTTCACTATAGCTTTTGTGGCAAACCCAATTCTATCCGGAACTTTATTTGTTCCTGTCACATTGCAAAGGCTTAAATTCATCTAAATACCTTCAATCCCAAATAGAATAGAGTTGGGAAAGGACCGGTCTTCGAAAAGCTTGAAATACACCGAACTGACTAAATGATTTTCGATTTCAATTAACACAGAATCCGACCACAACAGAAAAGAAACGCCCACTTTTAATCTTGAGTTCGACTTTTTTGCGACCTGAGAAATTTAAATAGTGGATCTCCTTTCATCTATCGAAAGGCTAACAATAGTTAGGGAGATCGAAACTATCTTTTTAGAAAAACATTGCTGGATAATAATATGCCAAACTGCAACAATAAACCTTTAACTCATAAACGCAGACAATTACCTCAAACCTGCACTTCAACAAAAAAAAATTAGAAATCCATTCAACGAAACAAACGACTGGATAAGAAAATAGAGCAACAACGACCGGAGCCAAAAAATACACATTCACCGAGGTGGACAGTTGAAGAGCATTGCCAAAACGCGTATCGATTGACTCACTGGCAAATTCAGGTTATGCCATAGCAGACGAAACCTGACAGATGCAGGACAGCGTCCAACCTAATTCGAACAACAACACTTCGGAGTAATTTTTTCCACGGCATGACAGTATTCATGACAATGACCTGAATTTTCGATTGTTCAATTAGCAACTATGTATAAATTCAAGGAAACGTATAATTAACACCTCAAAAGAGAACAGAATCTCTAAGTGAATCCCTAATTGGCAACATTAAATCGATATATTAGAGAACAGCTGAGATTGAACTTTCTAAATGAGCCAAAAATACTATATTTATCATGAATACTGTCTCTATGCACTCACCCGGTTATACATACTTGTGACTCACACATTACACCTATACATTCGAAATAAGAATTCGTATAGGGCACTGGAAGAAATATAGTGAATCTATATAAGTCGAGTAGATAATAATCTAGGATCAAAGATATTGGTTCACTGAAGAAAAACATGGGAGATAGCAAAAACTGAGGACCACAATTACAAAAACACGAGAGAAAGCCTCCATTTCGTACACCACCAACGAAAATTCAATCTAAAGACCGAAAAAAAAGAAAAGAAAGCAACAATCCTGACTGCGAAAAAGACCCTATTTTGCGGCAACTGGTTCAGCAACTGGAGGTGTCGCATTGTTTGCAGCAACGGAAACAGGAGCTTCCTTCTTAGCTGGCTTCTTCTTCTTCTTCTTGAGTTGTGAGTTTAATGTGGCAATTAGATCGGGATCCTATTAGAAAATTAATTGTCAACTATTAGCCAAAAACCCATAGAAAAAAAGATAAAATGCTAGAAAACGATCGTGGGCGACAAATACTGAAAACACTCACCTGCAACTTAGCATCTGTATCAATCAAATTCATATCAAGAGGTAGACCGGCAATTTTTAACAGACCATTTGGCATCACTAATACTGTTGTTTTGAACTGAGCAACCATCTCTCCGGCGACTTCATAGAGAACCTAGATAACTCTATTATGAAGAAAAACTGCAAGGAATTATGAACATCGAACTCTTCCGAACAACTGGTCGATAAGGCGTTTTCTTCGCAAAGGAAAGGTTACTACGAAAACTGAAGTTTAAACATGGATGTGAAGCAAAAAAGGCTCAAGATAGAAATATCAATCAAAAATACAAAACGAACCTGATAAGGTCGCAACAGATTGTGTTTTTCAGGCTCCACAACACCCATTTTCGCCTTTACTTCATCCTCTAACGCTCTTAGAGTAAATGGCATAACTCCAAACTAGAAAAAGAACATGAGCTCAAGAAAAAAAAACTTGAAAAGAGTGTAAAAACGAGTAAAAAAATGATAAAAAGATGTAAGGATGCAGTAATACTGAGCATGATTCACTGTTCAAATGCTCAAAAAAAAGACAAATGGAAGGTTTATAGGCAAGCACCAAATTGTAAAGGACTTTCGAAGTACATCTTTCCTCTACCGCAAAAAAA